AATATCATGTATGGCAGCACGAAGATAGTTATCCTCAGCACAACATTTCCCTTCAGGAAATCTGAATACATCAGTGGTCAATAGACAGAAATGCCACCTCCCATCCATCTCTCCAGAGGTAATATATTACTTACAGGCACCTGTGTAACACATGAGGCAGTTAAAATCTCCAGATCTTAATCTTCATTTCTTTATTAACTCATGGAAATACTTACCTTTTGTGAACAGTGGCATCTAAATTCTACATTTTTGATTTAGTAATGTTTTACATTCAGCCTTAAGTCATATGATACAATGCTGTGGAACACTGAACACCTTGGGCAGAACGAAAGAAACAATCTGTCTTTAACTGTTGCTCAAGAACCTTTCCTCTGTAAAACATGACAGGGATTTCTTGCTGTCCTCCAGCCCAAAAATCAAGGGTGTCTGGATTCCTATAAACTAGCCCAGAATCGGCAGCCTGTAACCTTGCATCTTATTAAGTTTCATAAAAATTTCATATATCTCTGGGGGCTGATCTAGCAGATATATTCAAAGGATATTTGACACACAAGCTCTTTTTAAAAGTGCAGTGGCAAAAACCTTCCACTTAAAAAGAACATGATTGCATAGACTACTAGTTAGGCCAAACCTTTTTGTTTTACGTGTCATATGAACTGTATGAACATACTGTGCCACAGGGATGGGAAGCCATAATATTCTACTCCCCAAACAGGGTTTATAACAAAGATACAAAAGAATTCATCTTGTTTGGTCTCCTTGCCCAATAAATATGCTTTTTTTTTTGTTTTGTTTTGGTTTTGTTTTGGGTTTTTTTCACAATACACAGTTTGAGCAGGGAAAACTGAGAGGAAGTAGCAGATTATATTTGAAAGTATTATTTTTGTTGATAAGTCTTAGAATGGAACCATTTAATATGTATTTAACCCAAATATATGTCATCATGGAAGTGTTATTTTGGCTTAGGATTTTGAAAAATACAAAAATGCTGGGATGCTTCTTAATTTGAAACTAAAAATAGTAGTAACTTTTTGAACTGATAAAATTAATGTCATAGTTTATTTCAAAATGCAAGTTTATGCTAGCATTCCATCGGATTTCTTCATATATAAAAGGTTTCAGATTTCTTTCTATTTGAAAAATTAATTATGTACTCTTCTGTAGTTCTTTTGGTAAATAATCACAACTGGAAGAATTTTTAAAATTCTTAACTTGTAAAAAAATCTTCCGAAAATTAAATAGTCTGGATGAAGTGTTCTACAAAAATAAACAACTGAAGCTACAATAAATAACATTTCTCCTTGAAATATTTCTCCTCTAAATATTTCTCCTCCTTTTCTGTACTCAACCATTCCAAAGCATAAACTAAAGGTAATAATTGAGCAAAAGTAGTCCTACCAGTACCAATAGATGAAACATACTGTGAATGTTTTGAAGTTAATGTCTTAGAACATGAAACTTTGGTAACTATTTTATGAAATGTGCTGTGCATATGTACTTGTACTCCATCTTGATGAAGCTGAATAAATAACACAAAAAATTCTTCATCACATCCTGCTTTCATAGAGCTGAACAGCATCTGGCCTTTTATTTTATTCCTCAAGGTTAGCTGCTTTCCATTAGACTGTGGCTCTTTAGAATTTGTTCTGTTGTGTCAAAAAAACAAGGTTGACTCTTAGATGTGCAAGAAAGAAAACACCATGCTTTATCTTCTCAGTCTGGCAATTATCTTCCCCATATTGATTCCGGCTGCAGTTCACTTGTGTTTCAAGGAACAGAAACATTAGATTCCAGCTCCTCAAACATCAACAATAACATAAGCTTCAGAAAATCAAAAAAATGGGACACTGTTTTGACTTGTAATACAGGATCATCTTTCCTGTCTTACATCCCAGAGAGTGCACCAATCATCAAGTCTCAGAGGAACAGACTACTGAAGGCAATATACACACTGCAAAACTTCTCCAAGGAGTAATTTCAATTGCAACAGTAGATTATAATGTCAGAGGGCTGTCTATGGCTGAGCCTGAAGTTCATTAATGGAAATGCAGGTGTTCTGTGTTAGGGAGCGCAGGAGAAGACAAATGTGTCAGTCTTACAAAATTTCTCAGCTGATCTTTTGAATTTAGGCAAGTTATCTCACGATGATTTCAGTAAATCTACATGAAACTTGCAGACTTTTGGTGCAGCTGATAAAGTATATTACTGTAGACAATGGCATCCTCAGAATGATAATCCAGAATCCCTTCTGATGATGATTTTGAAATTCCGTCTTCATTTTCCCCTTGCCACTATTACTTTATCATGTGAAATGATGTCTTATTTGTGGTAAATAACCTTTTTTATTAACACACCAGAAATTGAACTTTTTAAGATGGTTTCCCTTCCTGGTCAAACTTATTTTTTTCAGTTTAACATAGTATAAAACTAGTAATCTCTGTGTAAGTAAATGGAACATGGCATACATCTTCTATTTGGTGTCAAACAAGGAACATTTTGGTCATGCAAAGAGAGTCAAAACCTGATCCTCAAATTGCAAACAGAGAAACAATGACTGTGTGTTAAAAAGTTTTGGTTTCGAATCTGCTAGGTTTGACACATTACTGCCAATAAGTATGAACTAGAATATAGTTACAGAAAGGTTGATCTGTCATTCTAATAGATAAATATATGTAAAAATACTAGACCATTTCTAAATAGGCAAATACCCTAATTTATGTGTGAATTTAGAGGTTTCGCTGAATAGGGATTTTGGGGTGTGGTGTTGGGGTTTATTTCTGTTCAGAAGGTTGGAGAGGCATCACTTGCAGGCAATATAATCAACTATCAGTACTAAAACTCTGTGTGAAAATTACCTGTAGTGGGAAGAAAAAGAAAGAGAAATGGATTTGTCTTTTATGAGTTTGACAAGAACAGCTTAAAATAAGGAAGTGCAATAAATTGTTTTAATATGTTTATTTAGGAAACAGGTCTGTAGTGTTACTTAATATATTTTCTTCACTGAAATGTGAGGCAAAAAATGGTAGTGTTGGTTACCTCGAGGTGCCCTAGCAACAATAACATAGCTGCCACTTACAGCAGTGTGCTTGACGAAGCACTGTTCTCACACTCAATTAAACTATCATGTTGACAGGAGAGAAATGGATCCACTCTGTTGCAGACTGTCAAACATGCTTTGCCTTCCAACCTCCATTATTCTATCTAAGTAAAATGTATCAAACCACTTAACTGTGCCTGTCACTTGGAAAAAATAAAATAAAATATGAGAATGGTTTTGTAAAGGAAAGTTCTGAATACCCTTCCCAACTTTCTGCAAACATTAGTAATATTACAGACACATTTCCAATTGTTATAATGAAAAAGTTCCAAGGAACTTTCAGAAAGAGATATTGCATCCCTCTTTCTTATATGATGCCTTTCTTATACCATAATTTTATTTCTGTCAGTAGATACTGATTTTCTTCTGCTGAAGTATAATCATATAAGGTCAAATTTTTGTCCTTTTTTGTTATTGCAATATAAAATTTCCTCATAGCTAGAAAAAGCACTGTATGAATGTAAGGCTATAGGCAGACTCCTCTCTCCTCATTATAAAAACTCTCATTACATGGCAGTCTTGTTGGGACTGATGGTAGGAAAGTGGACAGAGAGCCACATTCTAGTGATTCCTGGATACTGCCAAACCACTTGTAGTGTTACAGACTGCCACTGAGCACATTTGCCCTTATGTGATGAAAGACATGAAATTCCCTGCTGAAGGAAAACTAAACGGTAAAGGTCTCTTTAATCCTGCTGAGCAATGCTCTGATACAGCTGTGTAACTGACTTGCTTTGACATTAATTTAGCTCACTCTTCTTTCTGATGCTTTGAGACTGTAACAAAGAAGAATGTTTTGCCACACAGTTGTCCTCAACATTCTGCCAAGTAACTGTTAGCAGCTAAGCAAAGTGACATCTGTGCATGTGGCAATTGTCTTTAGTCTGAAGCTATTTCTCTTAAATCTAAGCCTGAGGGCTTGAGTCATCATTTCCCTGCATCTTGCCAATTGCAGGGTGTTATTTTTGCACCCATTTTTTGTTTGGAAATAACTACTGAAATGAAAGACACTAAAAAAATAAACTCTGTTATCAAGTAGCATTTATATTTTTATTCTGATTTTTTTCCTCTACACTAATTTGAGTTCTCTGAGAATTTGAAAAAGTACAATTTAATGGGTCTGATTCAGAATTCAAGGCTTTCTAGCATTACTACCATTGAATAAATTCAATTTTTCATTCTATCCTAATTATTCCAAAGAATACATTTACTTGGAATTTTTTCCCTCTGTGAAAATAATTTACTTAAATAGAGACATCTAGTGTCATTTTGATGCTCTAAGCCATCCCACCTGGGCTCCAGCTGCTCCTCCAGATCCATAGGTTCTATGGCAGGTCTGTGAAGCCCATTCACGTCTTGAAAATTCAGGTACATCTAAAATAATACTAAACAACTAAGTTAATGCAAAGTTATTGTAGCTGCATTTTCCCTTGTCTCACCCATACCCGCACAAGTAATACTTAACATTGTCTTTACTTATCCAGAATAAAGATAGCAATGAAACAAATATGTTGTCACCGCATTTACTCTTCCTAATCCTGCAAAATAGATAGGCTTTCTGAATAACTTATTCTCATATATAGAAAGAGGAAATAATACTTATTCTCTAAGAACTGAAATTTTGATTTTTGTAAACCAACAGGTTTGACCTCCATAACAAACAGAGGATACCTCAAAAATAATAAGAAAGTTGATTTGTTAACAGAGACAACATGTGGCCAGATCTTCAAGTTGCAGAAATTAGTATAGCACCATAAAAGTTGTTATCTCTTGCAAATTCAAAAAAACTGAGAATCTGACTTCCGTTTGTAGTGTAAGAAATTTGTCTGTTAGAAACTTATGTACAAAGCATATGAAGAACTCACATTGGTATATACAAATAGGTAAGACATGAACAGTAATATGAAATAAAGAATATATCTTTTTACTTTGAGTAAAGACTTCAATGCTAAATTTAGCATACATATGTAGACATGTAGTAATAAAGCTGATCTTTCACTTTACAATTGAGAATTAGAAAAAAGAATCATGCATAGTCAGTTTACAAAAGATTTGCTTAGAGGAAGATAAATGAAAATCAGAAATTTTCTTTTGGCACCATGTCAGTCATGCACAGAGATTGAATGGCCTTACTGCACTCAGCATAAGATGCTTCTGTCCACATGAAAAGAGTGAGAAGCATTGTGTTTAATTCCCAAATAATTTTAAACTTGGGCATGCAGAAGTTGCTGCCTTCTTTAAAAAGTGACTTTTAAGAAAAAGACACTTTAAAAAATCTTTATTTCCTTTTCATTAATAGGGAAAAGTTCCTTGATTAGCTTGAAAAGCCTCCAGGAATAAGTTTTTTCTTTTCTTGTGAGTTGGAGGGAAAAAAAATACAAAATTATACAGAATAAATAGTAAATATAAATCTAGCAAGAATTCATTGCAAAAATAAACCTACAGTGTTCTATGGTTTTCTAACCTATTTTCCCCACAACACTTTATTTTCTTCTAATTTCGGAAAATATATTTTTGTACAAATAACTAAATATTATTATTCTTCCTCGTGTGTGTAATGTTGCAGCTATTCTGTCTGAGTGTTGCTTTTGCGTAGGGTGGGAAAGGACCTGTATTTGCACTTGGAAGTTCCTAGACACATCAAACTCATTTTCTCCAAGAACATTTAAACCAGCACAGAAGTTATTTATATACATGTGTGTATATATATAAAAAATCAAACTTATTAAACACAGTAACATATTTACAGCTGATTCTCAGTAGCCTTTCAAACTGCCCAGGATTATGAGTTGAAACACCAGTGATGCACAATATTTTATAGCAGCAGCTCAAGAAAAGTTTGTCCAAACTTAGGTAAAGCTATCAGACAGAAAGTAGCAAAAGGTTTGCTTTTTTGTCGTTGAAGAAGTTGGGTAAACATAATTACATATTTTTCCTTCCACATATGATACAGAATGCACATGACGAAGTTCCGTGTAAAAAACTTAAATATTTGCAGGCTTTGGGTGCACACACAAAAATATTTTATCTTTTTTTCTTTTTAATTAACATTTAGTATGAAAACATTTCAACTCCTTTCATATTTATTATAAGGGTATTTTAGGTGTAGTTGTAGACAGTGGTCATGTACGCAGTGCATGTACTAACCTAACAAATACACTCTAGCCATATAAATACAAACACAAGTATTGGGGTTTTTTGGGGGTTTTTTAAGGAATCTAATTAAATGAGGGGTAAAAAAAGAAAGAGTAAGGGTAATGAATATTTTTCCATAGATTGGGTACAGAATGGAATGCCATACACACCTTTTTAAAGTTATAAGGAATATTGCAATAAACAATCTTCCTCCCACAGTTCAATCACACAAAATTCATGTTTAATTTGGGATGACATATTTCCAGCACACAATCCCATGGCTTCCCACAGTGATCCCTGAGTTTTTCTTTGCTAGGATTACTGCTGTGCTTGAGTTCTGACTGTTGACCTGTTTTTATAAGGCACTTTTATTTACAATGGTTCCAACTTAAAATAGAATTACAGAAATTCGGCCCCAGCCCAAAATATTATCACTTCATGTTTGTTGCTCCAGGACTTCCAGGTAGTCAGGCTCAGCATGTAAGTTAGCCTTGAGTTCAAAATACTCATTTTTAGTTTGTTCTAAAAAAACCTTTCTTGGCCTGGAGTACATGAATGTCTCCATTAGCTTCAGCTCTTCATGTGCTCCAGGATAATGAACTTCCATGTCAGGCTGGAGCTGGACAATATTTTTCCTTAGGTACTCTGTGATCCCTAGTTGCTGGAGTTCTCTCTCTTTTTCAAGAATGTTTCTATACAAGCAGCTAGCATCCTGAAAAGACAGAAATTCAGCAGATTGATCTGTAGCCTTATATTTGACATTTGGACCTGTAAGCGGTGAGCTGTTCTCTCTTTCCAGGAGACTTCGGCGAAGATATTTGGAATCATTAGCTTCCTTCTCACTTCCCTCCTCTTGTTGTTGCTCAGTATGCTTGGGGCTGAAGGATGGGCTGCGGTAGACCTGAACCATGGGGGTAACCATACGTTGCTCATAGAGAGTTGCAGCTGGGCGCTCCGTTGTGTGGTGTGTTGTCTTATGCCCGTACATGCTGTACTGCAGGTGAACCGGGCTACTGTCCCTCATTTGCTCATCCACCTGTTTCTTTTTGCACCTCCGTCGCCGATGCAGAACAAGAACAACTATTCCTGCTGCGCAAAATACAATAGTTATAAACACAATGAGCAGTCCTAATATTAGAACAGAAAGTGGGACAGCATCTGTAAGGGACCGCAGGATGGTGTCTGCAGTGTTGGCAGTAGGAGAAGAAGCTGTCACAACTACAAAACTGGCATGAGTTGGTAGGGCAGGGTTGTTTATTAAACCTGGACACAAGACTTCACTGTTTAGGGATTTTAATTCCTTTTTTGCTAGATGCCCTGGAGATTTACAAAAAATATCACCCATCATGGTATTCTTACTCAGTTTTTGTATCCATTTTTGCAGCCCAACTGAATCACAGGTACAGTCCCAAGGGTTGTCTTCAAGTTCAATTTGTACCAGCATATCCAGCTCATCCAAGACATTGCTCACAGGCAAATGAGCAAATTGGTTTGTTTTCAGATTTAATCTAGTGAGGGGAATACCTGAAAAGATATGGGGTGGCAAAGCCTGCAGAAGGTTGTTATTTAAGTAGAGGACTTTCAGTTTTGGCATTGCATTAAATGTCCCTGGCAAAACTTCTTTGATGGCATTATACTCAAGGTACAAGTACTCAAGGTGCTGAAGGCCAAGAAAAAGATTCTGGTTTAACTTTGTAAGATGATTGCCATTGAGATATAATTTCTGTAGTCTAGTCAGATTCATAAAGGAACCTTCCTCAAGGATTTCAATGCGATTATTCCCCAGGTGAAGCATTTCCAGGCTGGTATAGTCCACCAGATCCGATTTCAGTAATGTCTGAATAATGTTTCCAGCTAGAATAAGCTTTTTAGGATTTGGAGGAGGGGGTCCTAAATCAGACAGACTTTCAATATTTCGCTCCTGGCAGTGCATAAGAACTCCTGAGAGCATATGGCTGGTGCAGTGACAGGGGACGGGACAAGAGATTCCTGGAAACGTAGTAGGCTTTGAAGTGTGAAGCACTAAACTTGGTTCTTTAGTAGGAGCTTTCAGAAGAGGAATCACCTTAGTCGATAGGTGACTATCACTGATAGAGGTGGTTACAACCAGGGGCAGTGACCCTGAAGGATCTTCAAGTTCATTGACAGGATGAGTGGGACAAAGTGATTCTTTTTTCAACCGGCTTAAGATGCTGCCTTTAATAACTGAAGGACTATTGCATACAACATCACCTATTATTGACTGAGGAGGCATGTTTTCTAGCCATATCTTCAGCTGCAACAAATCACAGTTACAGACCCATTTATTGTCTTCCAGCTGAAGGTCTAGTATTCTACCAATGTGTTCCAAAAAGCCAACATAGGGCAGTGTCTGTAACTGGTTTCCACGCAGATCTAAATGGGTCAATGGTACAAAACGAAATATGTTTGGAGGAAGAGTCTCAATGGCGTTATCATTCAAAATAAGCACTTTAAGCCTGTTGAGTTTGCTAAAGGCACTTGCTTCAATCACTGTGATGAAATTGTTGTCTGCTTGAAGAAACTCCAAATTTTCCAATCCATTAAACGTATCTTCTTTAAGTGTTTCTAAAGAATTGTGATTGATATGAAGTTGTTTAAGAAGGCTGAGACCGTTGAAAGCCCCAGGCTCAATATCTGCAATATTGTTAAAACCAAGATGTAGAGAGATAGCATTAACAAGGCCAGCAAAATCATTCATGTGTAACATACTCAGGCCATTGTTTAGCAGATTAAGATGGAAAGGCCGTGATGGTGGGACATTTATTTCTGATACCGTCTTGATGCCTCTTTCATCACAGTTTATAATAATGGTATCATCCTTTTCTTCACAGGAGCACAGACTCTGACAAGATCCTCTGACTGAAGAAAAAGAGGACTGTGACTGGAAAGGATCAGATGCAACCACAACTGAATATAGAATAAAAATCCAAAGCTTCATCTTGTCCAGCAGATTCTAATAAAAAACATAAAAAGAAAAAAAAGGAAAAGGAAAAGTAATAGAGTCATGATTTCACAGGATTTGGGTTGTGGGGTTTTTTTCCTGGGGCAAGAGAGAGAAAAAGTATTCCTAATGCTTGTCATTGAGCTACCCCATCTTTTAAACAATATTATGTTGTGCAAAGCAATTGAATTATTTTCTAATATAAGAATATATATTTAGTTTAATGTACTGAATCAATAAACAGTCATAAGAGGAGATAATCAAGAGTGTGTTGCCTTTATTTATATGCTATACAGACTTTCAGTGGACAGCAGTAATAAGTTACTGTTCCAAGCAACTTATATAGAAACTAATATAATATTTTGGATCATTGCTTTGTGTCACCAAAGCACTGCAAATTCTAAGAGTACCTTGTTAAGCTTAACTTAATGTTATCCAGTTGCTGATGAGAAGAAATAAGATTTGGTTTGGTTCAATAATGTGTTGTGAACACAAGCCCATTCAGTCAGGATACAGGGAATTTCCCTTTGGTTCTGCATTATGTATGGAAATCAAAATGTGTTTCCTCTGTAATCCTTGTACCCACAAACTGAAAAGGAAGTAGACAAAATAATTATTTTTCTTTACTTAAATTTTAATGCATATATTGTTGTTTGTAATTATTTAGTGAAAGAGGGACCACAACACAGTCGTGTAACGTTTTCATATAATATACACATAAAAAAAATTATATACACAATTAAAGAAAAAAGAAGAGAGAACTGACAATGCAGTACATGTCAGAAGAAACAAGTAAGCAAGGACAAATTTGTTTTGAGATTAATATTAGACTCCTGATTATTATAATCATCAGTTATCACAAAACTTCTGAAATGTATATGGCACTGACTGTGCTTTAAAATTAAAAATTATCACCAGTGTCATCCATATGATATGTAATATGATTATCACTTTTCAAGCTGATCTTGAACTTTGCAACACCTGGTAAATGCATCATTACAATACAACTATGGAGTCACAAATGAAATTTAGATGTTTAAAACAATCATTTATAATTGGTTTGAACTAACTTGTGCTACACTTCATTAAAAGATTCTCTGTTTCTTTCTGTCAAGGCTGCCACTTAGCAAGAACAATAGTATCTCTTGATATATGAGGTAGAGTGAAATCAATGTTTATAATCTTTAATTAAATATTTACACATATCCTAAAGATTTTAAAAAAAATTAAAAATCTTAAAATGGAATGGATGATTCATAAATCAGTAACTTTTATGGGCTGTGATATTTATTTGAGGATTCTCAAGGAATCTATCTAAGCAGGATTCTTAAGTAATCCATCTAATAAAGGTAAGTTGTTCTTTCCAACTAAGCTATTGAAACACTGAGTACAGAATATCACTACACAACCAGTTGTGTTAATTTCTGAAAGATCAGAACCTTTTACGAGGATCAATTCAGTTACATGCATGAATATTCTTTTAGTGTGGCCACATGATTTGGCATCTCATCAATCCATATTTTAATTATCATATACCTTGGAGACAACACTTCTCAAGGCTTCCCTTAGAACAGATTGCAAAGATTTACACATGCAGGCATTTAAATGCTGTGGCATGAGTATTACATACACACAAACAGAAAGAACAACAGCTAATGTGTGCACAGTGAATTATGTTTTTCTCCATTAGTAGCTCCTGATAAGTGGGAGTAGAAGCATGAGTTTAGAAGTTGTAAGTGCAATTCACAGTGTGAGAAAAAGTTTCCCTAAAAACAAGCTTTTATCTTTGTTTCAATAGAACAAATGGTTTTACTGTCTCATATAACACTCCCTGAACTCCAGTTGCCTATGTTTAATATATATGCCTCTAAGTCTGTTTTCCTAAGAAGTATTGGATAAGACACAACATGTCAAGATGTTATTTTGAAGTATGCAGAATAATTCCAGGATCATATTATGCTAGAGATTTATTTTTGCTTTACACGTATCACTACGCTTCCCAGTGACCCAAGGTAAAAAATATATAAGCTCTTGACACAGATGCCAGCTTCAAAACAACTGCATGACTAATTCAACTTTATTTCTGTACACTTTTCTCATCAGAAATTCCAGCGTCAACCTGCATCAAATTCAAGCTGCACTTATAAAGTCCCTGAGCAAAATTAAATCAAAAGAAAAAAAATAATAATCTGAAAGGCATGTTGCATTGTAGTGCATTTTGAGAAATTAGGTTATAAAAATGAAAGCCCTTCTCTCAGAGATGAAAGTAACAACATTTGTAACCAATTGGAAAACATTCGCATTTTAATCATCGTCATACTTTTGTGAGCAGCCAGAACTCTCACACACACATATATACACACAGTAAAAATTAATAGGAAGGTTGTATTCTTTTTTCCTCTTTCCCAGCTTTTTTCTTTTTCTAAACACTCAGAAATATGTAATGAAGTTCTCAGTGGGTTACTATTGTAAAATAAAAACTCCTTTCAAATAATAGATGATTAGCATTTAACTGAAAGAATTCAGAATACAATAAAATTTAATTTAAAATTCCTGACAAAGCTGACCTTTTTTTATTCCACGTGGTGAAGTTTTTCAGAAAATTCTACATGGTAACATAAGCTTTTTTTTTTTTTAACATCTGCTTTCATCTAAGTCACTACTGACTGCATACTGTAACTAAGGTCTGTAGGAATTCTAAAAGAGTAAAAAATGTCATGGTCTTTTCTATGAGGCAAAGTTGAATACTTTCAGAAGTAGTCACCTTACAGCAAAGACATCACATGCTTGATAAGTAATAACTTATGTGTTTTTACAACATTGAAATATCTTGTTTAATTTGTTGGGTTTTATTTGTTAGTTTGTTTTAATTCAACTATTTAAAAAATGTATGATGAAGATTTTCAAAGCCTCAAGCTAAGAATTGGTAATTTCTGAAAGCCTTCAGGATTGTTTATTAAATTCTGAAGGAAATCACAGTCAGATGATGCATTTAAGACCACTCTTGCACTTCAGGAAATAAAAACAAACACCCATTTCTCTCCCCTCAAGGGATTCAAAAACAGCGTTCCCTTAATACACACATTCTACACAGTTAGCAGTTTGAATAAACATGCCAGGCAAACTGTTTAAAATACAGTACAAATTGCCACGCTTTAATATAAAAGTTATACAAAGTCATGAAGAAAAATAAATTCAACTTGTACTGAGAAATTAAATTCTCATGTGCTAAACTAATTAACTAACTGGAATCTTTCTTACCTGTACAGCTGTAACACTCCCTGAAACACTCAGCAATGAACAGTTGGAGCAGTTGCTTCCATGCAATGTAAATTTTCCCAGTGAAAAATGCACACTTCCAAGTTTCACTTTGCTGCAAGCTCTAGTAATACTACAGCTCCACAAAGTTAAAATCCTTGTTCAGAAGACAAAGTACAAAGCATTCAACTGAAAAAATCTTCCAGGCAGCCGTGCACATCAGACCATCCTGCAAGCAGTTGTCCTTTTTCCTCAATTAAAATTCACAGCATACTTCACAGCTAGGCTGACTTTTCTGCATATAGTTAACTGTTTGCAAGCATTTGGATGCAGTAAATAAACAAGATGCTCAGCAGAGCTTGACTTGATCACTTGGTTTGTCAGATTTTAAGATGCAAGCTGCTCCTGTGTTCTCTCTGTTCTTTCTAGTCTTTCCTGTTAGCTCAGTTTGTTATTAGTCAGATTGCCAGGGGCTGGGAGGTAGGCGTAAATAAAGAGACTTCTTGGCTTTTGACTCAGCCTTTAAGCCCTTCCCCATCAGAGAGCTTTAATCTGCCAGTGTCATTTAATACAAGATACAGCTCCACCTTGAGACAGATCAGCTCCTCCTCCTCCTGCAATTTCTCTCACCTCCTTTTCCCCTTATCTAAGTGAAGCTCGGAAAGTAAAATTCAACTAAATATCTTCTAGATTCCTTAAAGACTGTTAATGACTGATTTTGCAAAGCAATAAACATCCACTACAGCTTTTCCAGTTTGTTCTCTTGGGTAGATCTTGCATTTAATTTGTATCTGCAAATGCTTGCTTTAGAAACCTGAAAGCATTCCAGCCCAAATACAATCCACAAAACACACCACAAGGGAAACCTTGTCCTCGGGAAAATACGTCTATCACATTGAAGTGCAGAATTATTCAAGTATATAAATGAGACAGCTCTCAATCCAGTTCACTCAATGTGACTGGAATTGGGGTGAGTATCTACAGTTGTACATACTTTATTTCTGAAAAAAAAGAAAAACAAATTGTGGAATATTAGTGCTTATGCTTGCACAGCAACTGCCATCAGTCCTTTTTAAAACTGTCCATCTTGTTCTGTAGGAAGAAGACTGGGATGATTGTAATAGTCTGTTTTACAGATGTTGGCACAGTTTGCTGGTATCTGTCCATGTGAGATTGTATTGCATTTGCATGAAACATTGCTTTGATAAAAAACGGTCTGGTTTGAGGGAGGATGTTTTTAAAGCCATGTATCATGCTGGAGGTATTATTTTCTTTGTGCTCATAAACAAGTAATTAGCAGATACAGTAGGGCGACATGAAAATGTTTATTCTATGCAAGGAAAATTTTCTTTATCCCTCTTGCACTGCAAGGGATGGTTTTATAAGCTGCAAATGCTACTTGCTTGTTCATCCCACTGTCACGGAGCCACAAAACCTTTGGGTGAGCAACAATAGGTTTGGTGCTCTGGCGTAGTTACCCTCTAGAACATAGCATTTCTGTTTTGTTCTTGTTCTGTCTTAGATTACTTGACAGATTGTTTACTACGGCCTCCAACCAGTCAGATTCCCATTACTGTTTTTGTACAGATAGCTCTCTAGATGACCTCATTGGCTTTTGAAGGGGTACTGTAATGTTCTGTTCCATTTGATGAAGACTATCAAGATCTTGTCCTATATTTATATCCACACACATAGACATAAATGTTTATATATAGGCATAGGCACATGTCTTATTAGAATGAGTTCCTCAGTACCCAATATTCCAAAGATAAAATATGTAATATAGCAAAATAATAATAATAAAAAAAGACGAAACACTCCTAAGGAACAGCAACAATTTGATTTCCATTTATTTCAACACATTTCAACATATTTGACTGCACTTGCTATTTTTAATGAACCTTGCCACTCTGTCTAGACTTGCAGACATTTTAAGGCTCAGAGGTTCTCAGCTATCTGTGACTAGCCAAATAAATAATTATATTCTTTATTAATTTTGAATTCATGAATTTTAAGTCATATTATTTCTAATTTTTACAAGACATTTTACAAGTCTTTACGCTTCACTTGTGGTTGGCTGTTTGAGATGGAAACTATCTGTATATAGAGACATTCACACCAGAAGTGAAAACAACATCATTCTTTTCTTTTCAGGTGACATCCACAAGAATAAAACCTGATCACAAAAATATTTCCATAAATCAACTTCTAAAAATAGGACAGCATTTCCTAACCTAACAGTACGGAATTAAAAATCAATGAGAATATTTATCAATATTTCTCTTTCCAAAAACTTCATATTTACCAGGTTTATAAAAATATGGCTAATGATTATCTTTCTACCACAATTTTATGAATCATTAAGCAGATTATTATAAAGAATGTGATTCTGCACATGCATCTCATGGATAGTGTTGAACTGACATAGAGTTTGTATCTTATACTTCAAATATTTGCCTTTATCAATTACTCTGACAATTTTAAATTTTGTGAAGTTTTAGAAATAAAATCTGAAACTCTCAGGGTTAGTTACTCCCAAAAGAGGCCTTAAGCTTCTATGTCATTCCTCTTTACCCCAGTGCATTACCACCCTCACAGTAAAGAAATTCTTCCTAACATCTGATCTAAACCTACCCGCCTTCAGTTTAAAGCCATTGCCCCTTGTCCTGTCACTACATGCCTTTGTAAAAATTCCCTCTCCAAATTTCTTGTAGGTCCCCTTCAGGCATTGAAAGGCTGCTAGGGGGTCTCCTCAGAACCTTCTCTTCTCCAGGTTGAACAGCTCCAAGTCTCTCAACCTGTCATCATAGGAGAGGTGCTCCAGTCCCATGATCATCTATGTGGCCCTCCTTTAGACTCACTCCAACAAGTCCATGTTATTATGCTGGGAGCCCCAGAGCTGTATGACAGGCCCCAAATCCTTCTTCTCAAGGTTGCTCTCAATACATTCTCCGTCCAGCCTGTATTTTTGATTTGGATTGCTCTGACCCATATGCAGGATCTTGTTGAACTTCATGAAGTTTGCATTGGCCCACCTGTCAAGCCTGTCAAGGTCCTGCTAGAAGGAATTCCTTCCCTCCAATGTGTTGACCATGTCACAAAACTTGGTGTCATTGGCAAACTTGCTGGCAGTAAACTGATGAGTACAGTCCATGTCACCGAGAAAGATGTTAAACAGCTTTGGTCCCAGTACTGACCCCTGAGGGACACTGCTCAACATTGGTCTCCACTTAAACATCAAGCCGATGTCATTGCTCTTCCCTCATCCAACAGTGCTGTAACCCCATCATAGAAGGCCACCAAATTTTTCAGGTGTAATTTCCCCTCAGTTACAATGGATCAGTTGCATATTTTTTAAAATGTACTTTGTTTGCCAATGGCACAAGAACACACAAAAGAAAATTGTGTCATGGTTTGGCATTGCACAGCATACTAAGAGCATAAAAACCTCTCTATTAATCAATTTGTACTCCCTTTCTTAGTAATTTTTGCAACCCCAGAAGCATTATTGTCCACTGCCCTTAATTACTGTAGGTTTAGACTGAGGTGATCCTCTCCACTATCACATAGGCATCTGAAACTTTTTTGAAGCTGAATGGAATAAAGTGTCTTTTGTCCATGTAGAAGAGAAAATCCAGCACAAAACCAACAAAATTTCCCTTGACTTCTTGGGACTTTTAATTCTGATTACTTTGAACTTCCAGCCAAAATCCTTTAAGGTATATTTCAATAACATTTCATTTAAAAAAATACTTACAAGTTTATATATGCTATTTATGATTTACTTACTTTTTTAAATGATATGTTACAGTCTGTCAATTAGTTAACAAATGTACATCTAAGTAGTCAGCCTCAAATTATAGTTACAAATATTCCAAATAAAGAATAGTCAGATTTCCTGACATTTATGCCTGAGAGCAGCTGACTGCCTAGGTCTCATAAAACTCTTAAAAAAATATCACCTCAGTACCAATAGTCAGTGCAATCCAAAGGTATAAGAATTGTGTAACGCTTTTGAAATAATGGGATATTTTTATCTTCTGTACCACATCTTTTTAAAAGCAAAATTACTCGGTCTTCTGTTCCAAAGCTGGAGATTATAGAAATATACATACAGATGCTGTATGAGTTTTCAGTTTACTTATGATGTTCTTTTTTAAAATTACAAGTGAAATGTTCACAGTTCCAGATGAACTGTTAACTTTTGATTAATCTGACAATAATTTAAAAGTTTACTAGTAAGACACAAAAATGCATATATGCTAATATGTCATAATCTTTTTAAAGGAAAGGAAAAGAAGTAGAAATAACCTCTGAGTGTTCAGTAATCAATAATCAAAACAGAGGATAGTTTACATATATTTATATTTTTTTTTGTTGTTACAAATTATTATTCTTAGTCTTTTCCAATAAATATGAATAAGAAAATATGAAATATTGAAATTGCTGGGTAAAACTATTTTCTTTCCTTTTGCCTATGAATAATGCATTAATATTTAACATTAGTATCCTGTTAAATACAAATGAGTTTGTGCATGCTGACTACGCCTAAACCTATTCATGATAATGCGTGCCTTTGCCTAACCTAATTATACATTAAATGCTACTGCTGTTCCACAAAATCCAGATAAAATGGATTATATCAGGCAATGTGGAAAAACACCCGAAGAGTAAAGCTTGCAGTAGTCATTCACGTTTGATTTTTTGCCAGTTTGCAAATAGCCAGAGCATTCAAATACTTTCTCTTAAGGGTACTATGTAAAATTCACAGACCCAACACAAGTATAATGAACTAATGAAAAAAGCTCTGCTTTGAAGGAGATTTTCTCTTCTTTCTGAGAATGCACATCCTTTACAGAGGCACTGACCTGTGTTGTGAACTCTAACTTTGAATAAGTAATATAGGAACTGAAGCAAGTGAGACCCATGTCAAAGAATGCTCTTTGGGTCTGTTAAGTCATAAGTGTTGTTCAATAGAGTAGTAGACCTTGATAGCTAGTAATATGCCCCTCACCACTCTGACTCTCAGTACAGGATTGATGTGAGCTAATCTTCAGTCTAAAAGTACATTAGCTAAGTCCAAGTTCATCAATATATTGTCCTTTTTTTTAGTGTGTGGACATAGCAGGATTAATTTGTCTTGTCTACATTAAGATGCCAATCTGGAAGTCACTGTAATTTATTGAGTTATCTAAAACTTAGCAGGTAATAGTGCATGCTAGATCTGCCTAGGATGGAGTCAGTCTTCACAGCAGCCTATAGTGTATAGTGGTACGTTTTAGATTTGTGACTAAATCAGTGTTGATTATATGACAGTGTTTTGACTACTTCTAAGAAGTACAGTGTAAAGGCTTCCTGTTCTTCCAACTCTGTCCCACCTTGTTCAAGCCAGGAGTAGGCAAGAGGTTGCAGGTTGCAAAGGGACATAAGACAGCTTATCCAAAATGGCTAAAGGGATACACCATACTGTATAGCGTGATGGTCAGCAATAAAAAGTGAGGAGAGGGATATTTTTGGGAAAGTACCTGTTGCTCAGA